GTGGGGGTTGTGACTAGGTGGGGATTATGAGAGGCTGGCCTGGAATGCTGGAGCAGTCTATCCTGCTCAGTCTCCTTTTCCTTCCAGTCTGGGTACTAGAAACTGCCATCCACCCAAACCCTCCTCAAGTAGAGTGCCCTTCTCTGTGTCTTTGACTCCCCAAATCCCCGACAGCTCCTATCTGCTGAAGGGAACCTTTCCCAGCTCCTTTACTAAGGCAGAGAGGACACCTCCAGGATGCAGGCTCCATTTTACACAGCCCTTTACCACTTCTCTTCCTCTGGTCTCCCCTCTCTCTGTTCCACCCTAGCCCCAGATGTGGCCATTTTTCTGACAACTACACTAGAAAAATAAGGCCTCTCCCCCACAGATAACAAACTTGACACAATCATTCCCACATACGCGCACATAGGACAGTTGTAGAGACAGACACACCAATTCCATTCCAGCAACCTTGCTGCGCTTACGTGCTCACGTCCACACACCCCCTTAGCTGACAGTGCAGCTGCAGAAACAACCCAGATTCCCTTTCTCTTCCACCAGCTCCCAGTGTTTCACTTGTGGTGCCATCTCACTAGGACCCAGCGCCCGATCCATCACAGACAATAAATATTCATGGGGAAAACATTTTAAATTACGCCTTAAAGACATGCCCATGACATCTGCCCAGGCCATCCAGTCCTCACTGTTATACTTCCACACCCAACTTTCCCACACAGTCCCACCAACACAAAGTAATTAAGTCACCACACATATCCCTAAGCCAAAGGACAACCCTTGGCCCAGGGGTCTCTCCCACTGGAAGCTGTTGGGATCCAAAGAGGACTCCCTCTGGGGCCTCCCTCTTCTTTCCCTCCTCCCCCAGCCTCAGTTCCAGCTGCTCCTCTTTTAATTGGAGGTACTTCTTTATTCTGCAGGCAGCAAGAGGGAGCTGGTACTGAGGGGCATGATTGCCAGGTGGGCCCAGGAGGACTAGAGAGAAGGATGTGAAGCTCACCTGGACAATATGTATGGCAAGAGTCAAGTTTAGCATTGAGGAAGTACCTTGTGCTAAGTGGAGTCCAGGGTGCCTCTTCCCAGCATTCAGTGCCTGGGTTTGCTGGGGTAGATAACAAAAATTACAGAATTAGGAAGGTTGGTGGAAAGATTACTACTGTGGTTGAGGGTACCCAGGACATCTCAGGTGGTCTGTAAGTCCTGCTTCCTCTCCCTCCCTCCCTCTTGCCTAGCAGAGCTACTCTGGAAGATGAGAGAAACTGCATCAGAATCACAGATGCTGCACCAAAGAAACAATGTGCTTAGGTAAGGAGGAGAGGGACCAGAGCCCAACAAAGCCAGGTCTTCTGGTCTTTCGTCTTCCTACATAGGGACTGAGATGGATGCTAAGCCTAAGCATCGGGGCTTTCCCAGCTACCCAGGACAAATACCAACATAGTGGACTCACAGAAATCCCTCCTTCCAGGACTGAATTCAGATAAAAAAGTGACTCAGAAAATAGGTTGGGAGGGCAGGGGAAAACCAAAGCACCCCCGGCTGCTGGGTTTTGTTAGCCACACAATCTTAGTGGGTAGTTGTGACCTCTGCCAAGCTTTGCCTGGGCCAACAAGGGCGAAGTGTCCTCTGAGATACCCTGGACAGCTGGTGCTAGATCTGAGGAGTTTAAGAGGTGGGCCAACAGGAGTTGGGGCCAGGAATTGGGAGAAGCAGGACAGGAAGGCAACGGGACCAGAAAGGTACAGCATTGCAAGGAGAGGGCAGAGTTTGTGGAACACTCAAGTGGTGTCCTGCAAGGGTCTCAGAATGACACAAAGGTATTGCTCTGAATGAAGGGGACAGATCTGCGGCAGGCAGAGCTGTGGTTAGACTAACAGAAGCAAGCCCTCTGGGCTCCAACCTCAAGGATGCCACAGAGCCCTCTGCCATAGCTTTCAACCTCAAAATACAAACAGTGTTAGATATTGACTTCCCAGAGCAATCCTCTTTTGTCTATGGAACTTTGAACAAATCGTCTTTTATTTAAAATGGCATATAGGGGGCTGGAGAGTTGGCTCGGTAATTGAGAGCACTTAATGTTCTTGCAGAGAGGACTGGGATTCAGTTCCCAGAACCCACATGGTAGCTCACAAACAGTCATAACTCCAATTCCAGGCACTCAGACACCCTCTTCTGGCCTCTTCAGGTACCAGACATGCACACACACACACACACACACACACACACACACACACACACACACACACGCAGGCAAAACACTCATACACATAAAACAGGATAAATAAATCTAAATTCTTTTTTCCACACAGGGTTTCTCTGTGTAGCTTTGGAGCCTATCCTGGCACTCACTCTGGAGACGAGGCTGGCCTTGAACTCACAGAGATCTGCCTGCCTCTGCCTCCGGAGTGCAGGGATTAAAGGTGTGTGCCACCAATCTAAAAATTTTAAATGATGTGTAATTCACATCCCAAACTTTTCAAACTTTTAAAAAGCACAGTTCAGTGACTTTTAGAACACCCATGAAGTTTTGCGGCCATCACCAACACCTAATTTCAGAAAGTTTTAATCATCCCCAAAGAAACTGCACTCAGCGGCAGTCATTTCCCCACTGCTTCTAGCTCTGGCTGCCACCACGGATCTACTTTCTGTCCTGTGGAGTTCTCTATCATGGCCACTTTACGTAATGCTGTGCATAATATGTGTGCCTTTGTGCCTGGCTTATTTTACTTAGCATATTTCCTAGGTTCATCTTCATTGTGGCTTGAGCAAGCACTTACTTACTTCCCTTTTATGGTGAGATAATGTTCTAGTTTGTTTATTTGTTCATCGGTTGATGGACAAATGGAATGGTCTGTGCTTTTCTAGCTGTTAGGAACAGTGCTGCTATGGACACTCACTCGGCTTTATTAGGTATAAGTATTGGGCCATTCTCACCAACTTTTTAGAGTTGGTATGGGTTTTAATGAATGTGTGATGTGGTATCTGACACAGGAGTTTCTCAGAAAATATTTATGCTGCATTCTGTTCTAGATCTTTCAAGATAAGAGGAAGGAAGAACTCATTCAAGTTTAGACAACTTCCCAAGTAAGTCATGGAGCTGTGTGGGTCAAGGTACAGAGCAGACTCTGGTTGTGTGAGGAGCAAAGGCTGGGCAGGCCGGTGAAGCACTGCTCTCCTGGTTGGTTTGGTTTCACAGCTGCCAGCTTCATGTCTTAAATGAACATTTGCCCAACTGGCTTGGAGGACAAGATAGAGCATTTATCTTCGAGAGACAGCATTGGCATTGAGTTTCTATAGTTATCCATATTACCAAGTTCTGCCTTATCCTTAGTTTATTGTCTGACCCAGTGTTTAGAGTGTAAGTTCTCTGAGACATTTTGCTGTTTCCCCACAGTGCCTAGAAAGTGCCAGGCCCACTTTAAGTACACAAATGTTTGTTGGGTAAGTCTTCACTCATTTATTACTCATTCAAGATGAGCATATTTTATTTGCTGGGGCTGTATCGGGAGGAAGGGGAGCAGATATATTTCAAGTGAGGGTGACAGACAGATGTGGCCAAAACAAACAGATGACAATAGGACTTGGTGAGTGCAGTTTTCACATGTTAGCATTTTGCCTGTTAGAGACCCCCCCCCCCCCCCCCCCCCCGCCCAATGGACCTAAAACAGATGAGAAATCACAGCCTATGCTTTACTATCCCAGAACTTGGCTCCTAGGAGGCAACAGACCTTTCCCCACTGGAGACCAGAAAGAGAGGAAACAGAGAAGGGAGTTCCCTTCTCAGCCAGGCAGCAGAGGCGAAACTTTAAAAGGCCAACCTTTGTCCTGGATGCATGTCCCCAATCCTAGTCCCACCAGCTCCAGCCCCCACAGCCCTAGGACCCAGGGTCTCACTCCAAGGAGTCTAAAAACAAAGGAATAACTCCTCCTCACAACAGTTCCAAGTCTGGCTTGGAAAAGCCAGTCCTGGGCTAGTTGAACCAGTGGGGTTCTTTCAGACCTCAAAGGGACTGCTTTTTGGCACATCTGTGTATTCAAAGCGAAAGGGGTACTTGGAGGAGTGGACACCCTAACACAGGTCCCAAACCAATCCTTTGACTTGTGCCTGCTTTTCGGGATGACTCCTCTTTCCTCAAATTCTCTAAAGAGGCTGAGCTGGAGTGGCTGCTAATTTTTATAACAATATACAGGCAGTTTGTTCATAGGACCTGTTTTAAAGGACAAGCCTGAACTCACCGTCCTGCCTCGGGGCCTGGGCTCCATACCTGGGGAGTAGACAGTCTTCTACTTTCTAACAAGCTGGACTTGAAGTTGCAGTAAATCGCCTGGTTGACTGACAGGTGTTTCCCAGCTCAGCCCTTGGGGAGATTCTCCAGTTGGGCAGGACACCTGTCCCCAGGGGCCTGGTGGGCTGGACTCCTTTGGCCCTGTTCAAAGTGAGGGGGGTGGTTCCTGCCAGGCCTGGGAAAGGGCTCTGACTTCCCTCTCCTTGGGTCCGTCTGTCTGTCCGTCTCTGGGAATGTCTGCTTGCTGTTCTTTTCTTTCTCGTTTTAAACCTCTCGCTGTGGTATTCCTCTTTTCTCTTCGCTGGAACTACTCAGAGCCCTGATCTCGTTCCTGTGTCTCTGGCTCCGGCATCTGTCTGGGCTCCTGGCCTCCTTCTCCCCCTCCCTTCCCCTCCCCCGCGCTGTCATTCACCCGGCTCCTCTCCACGCACAGCCAATGGAGAGACCCGGCCGAAACAGCTAGGCTCGCTCGCTCAGGGCTTTTTCGCCCGGTGATTGATGTCCCAGAGTCAACGGCGAGCGAGCAGCCTGAGAAGGGAAGGAGAAGCCGGAGAGGGGAAGAATATAGCTCCCCCCTCTCTCTCCCCTCCCCCCTACTTTGGCCCTGCTGCACACTTCGCCTTCAAGTCTCAGCGCAGCCTGGAGCCGCGGTTGTCTCCGCGCTCCTGCTAGCTACCGGGGTAGTCCAGCGCAGCGAGCGTCCGCGCCCGGGCCCCCGCGTGGGGCCGGGGCCAGCATGGAGCACCTGGGTCCCCACCACCTCCACCCGGGCCACGCGGAGCCCATCAGCTTCGGCATCGATCAGATCCTCAACAGCCCCGACCAGGGAGGCTGCATGAGGCCCGCTTCGCGCCTCCAGGACGGAGAATACGGCCTTGGCTGTTTGGTCGGAGGCGCCTACACTTACGGTGGCGGGAGTGCCGCCGCTGGGGCGGGGGCCGGGGCCACAGGAGCGTATGGCGCTGGTGGCCCGGGTGGTCCCGGCGGCCCGGCGGGCGGCGGCGGCGGCGGCGGTGGGGGCGCTGGAGGCGCTGGGGCGCTGAGCGCTGCAGGGGTGATCCGGGTGCCGGCTCACAGGCCGCTGGCCGGAGCGGTGGCTCACCCCCAGCCCTGGCCACTGGCTTGCCTACTGTGCCCTCTGTGCCTGCGGTGCCTGGTGTCAACAACCTCACTGGCCTCACCTTCCCCTGGATGGAGAGTAACCGCAGATACACAAAGGACAGGTTCACAGGTGAGTCCGGCCCGCGCACGCCCCGCCTGGCCGTGGCTCGGGCTAATGTGCTACCCCTACCCTGCTGAAGCTTGAAGCTTTTTGAGCTTTTTGAGCGCCAGGTCGCCTAGTGCGTTCCCCAAGTTCAGTCTCCTGCAGGATTCTGTGTGCTAAGAAGCGTTAAGCTCGAAGAGTTCTGGCAGCCCGAGCACTTCTGTCTCTACTCTGGGACCTCGTTCATAGTAGCAAACCGTGGTCCCCTCTCGGGATCCCCAGTCAGGTGGAGGGCTGTAGATTCAGGACCACCTCTGTCAACAGTTGAGGCTTGCAGGTCTGAGAGAGCATGCCATGTGAGCAAAACTGTTTTTCTGTCCTTGTTACGGTTTACTGAAGCAGGCCAGGAATTAGGCCCCAAAAAGGTTCTCCTACCTCTTGTCCCCTACTCCACACACACACTCATACTTGGGTGCTCTGAGCTCTGGTACCGGTTGATGCAGATCTGAAAAGGCCTCAAGCCTGGGTGAAGGAGCAGACCCAGCCAGCTTTCTTCCAGGCTTCTTCAGGGTTAGTGGTAGCAAGGGGTTGGGCTGCTCTTCGCTCTTCATTTTCATCCTCAGTACCTCTCCCAGGGGGTCTATTCTCCGATTTCTGGGATGAATAATGCACCCTCCTGGCTAGCGAGTTGGCTAAAGGGCAACTCCTGGGCCAGTATGCTCTCGGTGGCGGACAGCTGCTGGGCTCTCGGCGGCTCCCTCCCCTATGCCCTAGCTCGCTCTGCCCCGGCTTCGGTTCACTCGGCCCCAGCTCTGGTGTGCCCTCTTCCCCGGCGCTTACTTCCTGCTGGTTGCCTTTAGTTGTTCCCGGGTCCTGAGACTGTAAGTTGTCCTAGGCAAGTTCAGGCCCCAATTCCTCGCAGCTGTTAGGAATTGGTCCCCAGTTAACTATTGGGCCTTAGAAAGGGGAGGTAGGAGGTTTAGGTCGCTGCTTGTGGCTGGAACTCCCCCAGGCAAGTTCCAAGCTTTAACTGCGAAGTTGTGTGTGTGTGTGTGTGTGTTTTCATATGGAAAGAACAGTCTACAGCTAGACCTCTCCAGGCCATCGAAAGTTACCCTAGGCCCCTGCTTCTGTTACAGACAACACATGCAGAGAGTCTGTCCAGGCCCCGAACAGACTTTGGGACCACAGCAGAAAAGGGAAAGTCTTTGTGCTTGCTTTGGGGTATCCAAGAAGGGTCCTTGGTCAAGGGACTCCAGTGAGACAACCAAAGCCCTCTCATGAGGGAGGAGTCAAGGCCTAGAGCCTGTCTCACTCTTCCTATCCAGTCTTGAGGGGCTTTGCTAGAATCTACACTATGAGCCCACTGTCGTGTGTGTGTGTGTGTGTGTGTGTGTGTGTGTGTGTGTGTGTGTGTGTGTGTGTCTGTCTGTCTGTCTGTCTGTCTGTCTGTCTGTCTGTCCCACAGCCTACTATACAAAAGGGATCTGGCCCAGGCCTACTCCGGGGAGTCATTGTCAACCACAGCAGCAGGCCTGAAGGAGGTTCTGAGGGAGTGAGTGAATGGCTGTAGTCCCGTATTGCCCTGCGTCCTCCGGCTTGTCTAGGTGTGCATCGTGTGTGCTGAGAGTACAGATCTGGAAGTTTGTACCTATACCTGCTGTGTGGGGCTATTACCAAGACTCTGAAAAGGTCCTAGAGGTTGGACCTCTTACTTTTGGAGTGACCCTTTTAAGTTTAGTGGCTGAGGTTGGAGAAGCTGGGTGTTTAACTGCCCCTGGGTGGGGGAGAGGGGAGCCGCAGGGGAAGTGGATGGGATCTGCGAAGCCCCAGGCTAGGGAGGTTTTCCGAAGTGGCGGCTCGGGGAGGCGTCAGCCTGGCGGATAGGAGGGAGTCTTTTGCGGGCCCCGGGCTTGGAGTGGAGGGTTGCCGGGAAGATCGCTGCCTTGCTTTTAAGGGGGTCTAACCACTGCGCTCTGACTCGCGGGGTGTTGGGCCTGGGACGCCTCCTGACGCTCTGCCGCTTGCCTCTGCCGTCTGTCTGTCTCCCGCTCCAGTGGCCCTCTCACCCTTCACTGTAACACGCCGTATAGGTCACCCCTATCAGAACCGGACGCCCCCTAAGAAGAAGAAGCCGCGCACATCCTTCACACGCCTGCAGATCTGTGAGCTGGAAAAGCGCTTCCACCGCCAGAAGTACTTGGCTTCGGCGGAGCGCGCTGCTCTGGCCAAGGCGCTCAAAATGACCGATGCGCAGGTCAAAACCTGGTTCCAGAACCGGCGGACGAAATGGAGGTGAGTTTGCGGGGCCGGCCGGTCTTGGCGGAGCAGGCTTTCTCTGCCTCTCTTGGGTTGCACATATTCCCTCTGTATGCTGGTTTCTGATTATTTTAGACAAGTGGGCTCCTACAGTCACCCGGGACTGCAAACAATGGAGGGCAGTAAACCGGTGGGGTTGGAGAAATGTTTTAAGAGAAGCTCCAGGGCTTTCTAGAGAGCACACTCTATCCGGGTATAGACTCCTGGTTTCTGCCTCTGAGGCAAACAGGCCTGTAGACCAGCAGTCTATGCATCCGGACTTCTGTGCTCAGGGAGTCCTTTAGGGGCCTTTTGATTACCCAGCCTGCATTTACTGGGTGGTACCTCCCCTGACCCTGTGACTTGGAGACAGAATGGCCCGCGCCAGGTTTCTGCGCTCCAGCCGGACTCTCCGAAGGAGCGTCTGGGGCCCCCGGACCGCCGGCTGCCGCTACTTACTGCTTCCTCCCTAGGCGCGTGAGCTCTGAGCAGACGTCCCCCATCCTAGAAGAGGAAAATCAATCTGTGCCGGCTGTGGCGGGGATTCTTGGGTCCCACTGAAAGGGGGGGATCAATTAGGAGCAGATGGGTGTGCGTGAGAAAGAAAGAGACATTTTCCCTTCTGACATACGACAACAGCACTTACCACGCTCTCGCTTTTTTATTTTTCCGAATGCATATGCCTGGACCTTGCTCTGCTCACCTTTTCCACCAGTTCTCATGAATATTAAGCATCACACACACTAGGCAGCTTTATTCTCTGTCCATACCCAGCCTTTCTCCAGATGCACCTTCTTGCACCGTTGCGCCTGTGCTCACACCTTGTCCACATTCTGGTTTCTCCTTTGCTGCTAGGAGTCTCAGCTCAGACCCTGGGGAGGTGTGTGGCATGAGTCTGGGCAAAGTCGGCGGCGCCGCTCCGGGCGGGCCTGGGGCGGGAGGAAGGAATTGGAGTTTCCTCTTTTTCTGAATGAAGGCGAGGAATCTGCCTGGATTCCGCCTTCGAGGCCACAAAGGAAGCCCTGGCCCTGCAAGTCGGCTGCCCCCCACCAACATTCCTGTGGTTGGGGAAGGAGTGGCGAGCGTGGCTTCAGTCCTTTGGAAAGCTAGTAAAAGAGAGGAGCAGGGCTAGCTGAGGAGGGTGGCTGGTGCTCCTAAAGCTTAAGGTGACGCGAGCGTGGAGAAGGGTGGTGGTGTGCAGAAAGCCATCCACAGGCAAGGAGAGAAACTTAAACACAAAGGAACAAAGATAGCCCATTTTAGAAGAAAATAAAAAAAAATAAGGTAGGAAAGGGGCGTGGATGAGTCTGTGTGAAAAGGAAGATATCGGATTATTTTTAAACATGGTTTGAATTTCCCCTAATTCAGAGAAAACAGAGGGATAGAGAGGAAACACGGGATAAAACAGCATGAAGGGAAACATTTGGGCAGTTTAAAAATTCAAGGAAGACAGGAAGATTAGAAAGACAAGGAAAAGTCAGGAATCCGCTGTGCGAGCAAGCCGGCGTCCGCCCCGCCTCGGGCAGAGCCGAAGGCTTCAAGCGGCTTCATCGATCGCCTACAAATTGCTTCTGGAGGCCCCGGGGACTCCCATTAGGTCTGTCCACCTTAGAGACAGACGTTTGATCTCAGTTGACAGGGTGGAGGGGCCGCATTAAATGGAATAAGTGAGTCATTGCCTCCCAAGACCGCCCGGGAGGAAGCTAGTGGGTCCAGCGGGAGCTTAGGGACACGGGATTTGGCACAGGAAATCTGAGGCCTCGGTCAGGCTGGAGGAGAGAAGGAAAAGACAGGTCTTTCTTCTGGTCCTCCTCCTGTGCCTTCATGCGGTAGAGCTTGTCGGGCTTGGGATAGCACCTGGTCTTGGGATAAATCAGCCTATGCCAGTGAGAGTGTAGGTGCTGTGCTTTAATGGGGGAGGCCTAGCAGGTTAGGATCCTTGGGTTTTTTCACTGCTCCTCTAGGATACTTCTGCTGCATCCATTTTTGGGGTTCCTGGGGTTGTTGTTGTTGTTTTTTTGTCATAGTCAGTATCCCCAAGAGTGGAGAGTGCATTAAAGGGGCCCACACAGGACTCAGGGGGTGCATAAGGGGCTGTCTCCTGGGAGCGTACTGCGGGCCTGCGCAGGCACGCGCGAAGAGGGTGAGTCTTGGCCGGTAACAGTTTGTTCCCAATGCAGGCGGCAGACGGCAGAGGAGCGAGAGGCCGAGAGGCAGCAGGCGAACCGCATCCTCTTGCAGCTGCAGCAGGAGGCTTTCCAGAAGAGCCTGGCCCAGCCCCTGCCCGCAGACCCACTGTGTGTGCACAACTCGTCGCTCTTTGCCCTGCAGAACCTGCAGCCCTGGTCTGACGACTCCACCAAAATCACCAGCGTCACGTCGGTGGCTTCGGCCTGCGAGTGAGCCTGCACCTCCACTCAGTGGGACCCAAGCCCAGTTGAGAGCTGTCCAGAGAACCAAAACTCTCTCTACCTGTTCTGACTGCACGCAGGAGGGGAACGGGGCTTTTCTGGCATGGTGCCAAGCCCCGCATCCACACACCTGTGAACACTGTTCTGTCTTCGGTGGAAGAGGGCTGGGGAGAGAGGCAGAGACCCCTTTCCAGAAGCCTGTGTGATCCTGCCCCACTCTGGAACTGACCAGAGTCCTCTCCTCCGTTTCCCTCTATTTCATTTTATTATGATTTTAATATGGGCAGAGAGACCCAAGGGAAGTGGGGCTTGGAAGGACTTCTGGGATCTCCAGGCTATCTGTACGAGAGCTGGAAAGCTCTCTATACCCAGGCACACACAGAGGTAACACCACTGTCACTTCAGGTACCACCCCAGAGCCACACCTAGGGGCCTATGGCGGAGTGTCATGGACACTCGGGTTCTTAGCAATGACCTTGTGTTAGGTGTAGTCCTGGGTGACTCCTCTTCCTCAAACACAAGGCCATAGTCACACTGTGACACAACAGCCCCCACACAATAGCCAAACGTGGCCCGGCAGGCCCTCACAACACTTCAGAGCAGCACCCAGGTATGCACAGACAGGCTTCACACAAACTCAGCCCATTTCTCCAGATCCTGTTTGGGGAGGGGGGTAAGTTATGCACTTATAAGGTGTTTTCTGTGTAATCATTTTATAAAGTGCTTGTGTAATTTATGTGGAAAAATAATAAAACCCTCCGGTTCAGGAGTTGGGGCCGTCTGCTCCTTGCCGAGCCCAGCATTTTGCAGCTACTTGAGTTTGGTGCAAGCTGGGGCTGAAGAAACAGCATCTAGTATCAGAGCTTGAGGGATTTGTGAGCAGGCAAGATTCAAGCTCTGGGGAGGGAGGGAAGGAGGAAAGGAGGGAGGGGGGAGTGACAGAGGAAGGGAGGGAGGGAGGGAGGAGAGAGAGAGAGAGAGAGAGAGAGAGAGAGAGAGAGAGAGAGAGAGAGGAGAGAGAGAGAGAATGTAAGAATGTGACTGCTGTTTGGCATGATTTTGTGATTCTCATTTTTCTGATTGTATATAAATCAGGTTAATGAGCATGAAAGTATATATTAATTTTCCTTTGTGACCCTATTTTTGTGGTAAATGTGTGTTTCTGATTGTGTATCATCTCTAATTGTATGTGAGGGATCCATGTGTGGCATGTTTTAACTGTACACTATGAAATTGTGAGGCATGTGGGTCATTGTGGGAGGCTGTCTCTGCAAGGGATAGGATGTGGCTGTGTGAGAGTTATAATCAGGCACTGATGATGATGTGTGTGGTGGTACAGGCGCATTGTGAACCCAGGATAGGCAGTGCTCTAGGAGACTGGATGCTTGCTTTCCAGCAAGCTGCAGAGGCCAGGGCACTGAGTTAAGAATTACAGCCAGAATCTGCTCCAACACTCTACCTGGACTCTCAGTACCAGCGTGGACGATCTACTGGTAGTCTACAAAAATGACTTTCCAGGGACCTGGGGGGCCCTCAGTCTACTCTGGCCAGAACACCTGCACACCATCAACATAATTCTTGAGCTACTAGACCAGCTACAAAACAACAACAAATTGACTTGGTCCTACTTTTCTGAAAAAAGTTGGGTGGTGGTGGGTCTGGAAAACTCATTAGGAATGAGATTGAGTAGGAGCTAGGGAGCCATTTCTTTGGAGAATTTTGTAGGTGTGAAGTTAATGTGGTTGGGGCCTGGGTAGGCATAGGGAGCCACTGTTCTGTACCCTAGCTGTCGCTAGTCATGGAAGGCTGTAATGCAGAGACAAAGAGCATAGCAGGCACCCCCAGAAAAGCCCAAGAGAAAATGGGTTGATCTTTCACTCCCTCATCCAGTGGCCCCTTGGTTCTGAGCAAAAGAGAAATCCAGCCCAGGAGACCTGGCAGGCTTCCCTAACGTTTTATTGAGCTCTGTATTAGACACCAAGGGTCGGAGCCGGGCTTAGAGCGCTGTACAGAGCAGCCATGCATCAGTCACAAGCCAGACACCCGAACCAACCAGTCCAGAAGCCACCTCCCAGAGCCACGAGAGCTTTCTAACCTGAACAGGTCTGGCTGCCCCATGGTTCACTGGGACTGGAGCTGTACGCCACCATCTTCATCTCTCCCCAGGTTTCTTCCATCTCCTCCATTCGTGTCTTTGAGAAGTAGGTCCGAGTCCTCTGGAGTCCTCTGTGCAGTACCCGTGCCTTCTGATAGCTTGGACAAAGACTCTAGTCTGTAGTGCCTGGAGGACCCCGGATATTTCCTGGCCAGCCTGTCCAACTGAGTAGAGGCCCCAGGGCCCAAACACTAAAGTTCCAAACAGACTGCTAAGCCAGGCTCTCACCACTCTCACCTTCTCTTGTAGAGACAGAAAGCAAAACTGGGCACCCCCCTGCACGCCTGTTACTTCCTGTCTTCATAGCTTTGCACTCAGAACTGGGCCAGCAGATGCAAGCCTGGAACCTTAAGGTCCTCCGCTGCTCTCCAATTCTGCTTAGTTTGTCTAGGACTAGAGCATTGCCCATCCCGGCTTCATCTGCAGCGCGTTGGCTGGTGCTTGATGTCCACAGAGTTATCCACACCGCTGGCCTGCTCCAAACCTCAGGATTTCAATTTCGTTCTCTCCTTACCGCTCACTCCGGGATTCCCAGGCCCTGGATGAGGCCTCCCAGGGGTATCAGACTCCAGGAAGAATTGGGTTTTTTTTGGCGCTGAGAAGCGACAGGATTTTCCCCTCTCGCCGCTGAGAATTCGTTGGGCCCGAATCTCAGTGAATCCCGCGTGCACCGAGCAGAGCGCTCCCCAAGTGCAGCAACCACCTAAAAGTGATAAATTCCGGCCAGGCCTGCACCGAGCTGCAGCACTGGTAAGCTCTGTGGTGGGCTGAAGCCCGAAGCAGGGATTGTGTTGGTCAAGGCCAAGCACTCCAAGAAAACAAACAAACAAACAAACAATACCAAAAACTCAAAACTCGCTGTTTTTGGTCACTTCTGCAGCAACGTGGGGCTATAAAGAGGGCGACCACAACATCTGCCAGAAACTCCATTTCAGATAAAAATAGAAGTGGGGAAATCATCTGAGTAAATGTGTGTCCAGGTGCTGAGAGAGGAAAAGAATTGACAAACCTGTCGGGCGGGCGGAAAGCCTGTTTCCTTCCTGACCAGACCCCCCAGCGTTTCCACCAGTGAATCCCGAGAGGCTTAGACTTTTGTGCACATGGGTGGTAGAGGTTGAGTGGCTGGCAGTCTGTGGCCCCAGGAACCCAGGCAGGGCTGGGGGCCAAAGGGCCCCCAAGCTGTGTCTTGGGTGACACACGGAAAATCTGGCCCAACCTGTTAACTATAATAAAGGCTTTGTGTGGCCAGAGCTATGCTGGGACTATGCTGAAGGGGTGGCAGTGTGTGTGTGTGTCTGTGTGTGTCTGAGTGTGTGTGTGTGCGCGCGCGCATGTGTGTGAATGTGTGTGTGTCTGAGTGTGTGTGTGTGCGCGCGCGCATGTGTGAATGTGTGTCTGTGTGTGTCTGAGAGTGTGTGTGTGCATGCGCGCATGTGTGTGTTTGTGTGTGTGAGTGTGTGTGTGTGTGTGTGCGCGTGTGTGTTTGTGTGTGTGAGTGTGTGTGTGTGTGTGAGTATGCGTTTGTGTGTGTGAGTGTGTGTGTGAGTGTGTGTGTGTGTGTGTGCGCGTGTGTGTGTGTGAGTGTGTGTGTGTGTGTGTGCGCGCGCGAGCGCGCGTGAGTATGTTTGTGTGTGTGAGTGTGTGTGTGTGTGTGTGTGTGTGTGTGTGAGTGTGTGTGTGGGTGTGTTGGTGGCCTATGGTGCCTGCAGTGAGGTTGCTCGGCATGCAGGGTGCTCTGACTTAGATAACTGTCCCTTTGTGGATAAGTGGCCTTTGGATGGATTGTATAGGTCAGTGGTTCTCCATCTTCTTAATGCTTCGACCCTTTAATACAGTTCCTCATGCTGTGGTGACCCCACCATAAAATTATTTTCGTTGTTACTTCATACCTGTAATTTTGCTACTGTTGTGAATTGTAATGTAAACATCTGTGTTTTCCGAAGTCTTAGATGACCCCTGTGAAAGGATCATTCAGTCCCCCTCCCAAAAAGGGTCAAGGCCCACAGGTGGAGAACCACTGAAATAGGTGGTAGGCTCTCTGAGGCATAGCTGGTCCCTTCCACTAGGTGAAGGCACTGGCGCTCTGCAGCCACGTTGGTCCTGGGAGGTGGGTGCAGATTTCCTCCACCCTCAAGTTTTGTGTCCCTCACTCCCACCTTTGTATACTGCACAAGGCTTTCCTCTCAGGTTTTACTCCCATCACTTTTCCAGCGTGGCTGAGAGTGACCCTGGTTTAGTCCTAACCTGTTTGGCTCCTGGAAGTCCTCAGGTATCTACACTCCTGTGCTCTCTTCTGGGTTCCTGGTTGTGGGGACTCTGATGGACTAGGCCGAGGGCAGACTGGAGCCAGGACGGGTTTTCCAACTAGCCCAGAGAAAACCTGGTGACCAGAACCAGAGGTGTAGGATGGGGGATGGGCGCGTCAGGTAAGTGCAGAGAACGAGGGTGGTCACTTGTGCTGGGAGGTGATTATAAACGTACCCACCTCCCGGTCCCAGCCTGCACTGCTGTGTACAGCCTACAACATCCTGAGTGTACAATATTGCACAAGAGAAGCCGCGGGTGTGTGGAGCCAGGGACATACAGAGTGCACACTTCACTGCCGGGGCTTGTGGTTACCCTTTCTTTCACAAGCTGACGCCTGCTACTGCCTGGCTAGTTCCACAGGCTGTTACCTCAGGAGCTCTCGGGCTCTTCTCCCCTACTCCCCCAGCCCAGAGGGAGGAGGGTTCAATTCTGCAGGAGGGCTTTGGGGGTGGGGACTTCCTCCAACCGGCACTTCAGCTTCCCTTCTGCAGCTCCGGGGTGGGAGAGGCCCCAAGGCCCCATGGTCGACTGCTCTGGATTCCAGCAGAGTCCCAGCAAAGCCTAGACCTTTCAGTGACCTCTGCCACCTCCTGCAAAGCCCGAGATCCAGCCCCCAAGAGAGGGTGGGAAGGGAGGTAGGGGTAAGGGCGAGTGCGAAGTCCCAGATGCAGTGTGCCTTCCGAAGGAAGGCTATTGTGGGAGCTGCCCCTCCGCTTTTCCACCCTGGAGTCCCAGACCCCACGTTTCTTCCCGTGCCTCGGGAGGGAGGAGCCTCGTGATCCAAAGGTGGCGTTGGTGGCAATGCAGCCGCTGGCTTTTAGATGGGAATCAGACTCGAGCTTAAATTCGAAAACTCAGTACAAGTGGGTTCCGGGCGCCCTCTAGGGGCCACATGGGGAGAGTCGCTTTGAATTAAGCTGGAGCTGGTGCTTCTGGATCAGGCGCAAAATAATAAAAATAGCACTAAAAATTAATATTACGGAGCGCTTGCAGTGTTCCAGGTACTGAGATAGGCTATGACAATTCTATTCATTCCTAAACACCATCCTATGGCACATATTTTTATCCTGCCTTTAACACACTCAGAGAAATTAAGTAACTTGCCTAAAAGCACTTGGTTGGTAGGAGAGGGCTCCAGTATTCAGAGTTTGTGTAACCCTGGAACTAGGGTTTTGGGGAGGGATGGCCAAGTGCAGGGGTGCAGTAGATTTGGGGAGGATTGGGGGTGAGCCAGCTTTGTTTCAGGGCTTGCTCTTTGGAAGGACCACCCAGCAGAGAAGTGATCTGGGTGTTTTCCCTCTAGAGAT